GTAACAAGCTCCTCTCTCTGAACTGTAAACTGCCGCTGGGGAGAGGGGGTATCAGGCTCCTCTCCCTGACACTCTCTCTGCTGGTGGAGAGGGGACCAGCTGTCTCCCCTTTCATTATTTTGTCCTGTGGTTGGGGTGCGAGACTGACGGTCTCTGCTCCCTGCAGGACACTCTGCCGCTGGGGAGGAAGGATGGCACCTTCAGCTCCCTGGGGTACACACTGCCGCTGGGGAGGAAGGACTGCACCTTCAGCTCCCTGGGGTACACACTGCCGCTGGGGAGGAAGGACTGCACCTTCAGCTCCCTGGGGTGCACACTGCCGCTGGGGAGGAAGGACTGCACCTTCAGCTCCCTGGGGTACATACTGCCGCTGGAGATCTGGGCCGACCGCCCAGCATCCCTGTAGGGCCGGTTGAGAGACCGCCGTCCCATCTCCACCTGCCATCTGTGGGTCTTCCCAGGACCAGTCTGTGAGGTCCCTCAACATTTGCGAGTAAGGACCACCTGCTTCCGCACCTGGCAACTCCGGCTGCTGCTGGGGATCTGGGCCGGACCCATCTCCACCTGCCTGTTGTGGTTCCTCACAGGACCAGTCTATGAGGACCCCTACTTCAGGTTCCTGCGGCCGCCTCAGGGGGAGACGGCTAGCCTCCTCGGATGCAGCCTCTACTCGGCTGCTGTAACACTCCTTCCGCTGAGCGTACTCTCTCTCTTTCGCCAGCCGGAATTCTCGGGCCAGCCTTGTGTTTCGCTCGGCCGTGACCTGGTTCCAGATCACCCGGCGTACCTCCATGGGTAAATCATCCCCATACTGGGCCACTCGCTGCCTCACCTCGGCCATCCAATCATCGCCAGAGCCTTCCATACTTGTCTGCTCCAAGTCGCTGGATACCTCTGCTCCCAGGGGCGCTGCACGTGTGCTAGCGTTGCCCTCAATTTGTAACTCCACGAACGGTGTCTCTGAGCTGCTGTACCTCGCACTAGGACGCCATCCCACCGCTTGCCACCAATGTAACGGATCGCCTGGCACCCCGACTGGGTACCTCCGTTGAAGGATGCTCCTAGCGCTTCCTGAGGACTCCAAGCACTCTGGCAGACACCACAATCACTGAACCGGAGAAACAAATAAATTCTCCCAAGCATATGAATGCTGTAGACAGTTGAATAGAAACCATACGAATAGGTTTACTCTCCTAGCAGTCAAACTGGAACAGCATACAATAAATCCTTCCCCAATAATGAGACAACACTTCACTTTGAGGGTTAAGCAGGAACTGACTGGACTGGCACATACAGCCTCTTTTATTCCCAATCCACAAACTTAGTACTGCCCACAGGGTTTTACAGAACAACCAATCACATCACAGTTAAGACATCCCACATATTCCTCCCCTTATCCTGAGAGGAAACTCAATTATACATACAGTTAAAAGATACTTTCTACCCAACTTTCATAACTCCAAAACCATACATCACATTCACATAAAATTACATATTCACAATCAATCCATTCAGGGGAACAACATATTCAAAAATGGTACAAATCAGACAAGGGGTTCAAAAGTTAGTAAAAAGTCCTTTGTGACTAAATGAAGCATGGCTTTCTGGCTCAAACCAGTTTCAGAGTCTTCTATCCTGGAGATAAGTAATTCAATTATCTCCCAGGATAGACACAAGACTCCATTAAGCACATGGTTGCAAAAAGACACAAAACACTTTAAAATACATAAAGTCACATTTACACATAACACACAGACATTTCACATATCCCCAGATAGCTGGGATCTGAGTGCACATTATTAGATGAATGGCACCCAGATCACACAAATAAGCCTTTCTGCAGGGGAAATAAACGGTTTAACCTGCAGGGCCATAGTCCAAAGGGAGCAGGCGAGCAACCAGGCTTCTCCAGTTCACAGTGGCGAGGTTGGTTTCGCCACACTCTCACACCCAGCACTCTCACACCATCACACACAGCGCACTCTCACAGAGCACTCACACACACACAGCACTCTCACACCCATCACACACAGCACTTTCACACACACACAGCACTCTCTCACAGCACTCTCACAGAGCACTCTCTCACACCCATCTCACACAGCACTCTCACACCCATCACTCACACACGGCACTCTCACACCCATCACTCACACACGGCACTCTCACACCCATCACTCACACACGGCACTCTCACACACATCACACACACACGGCACTCTCACACACATCACACACACCGCACCCTCACACACACACATACACCGCACCCTCACACACACACATACACCGCACCCTCACACACATACACCGCACCCTCACACACACACCTACACCGCACCCTCACACACACACATACACCGCACCCTCACACACACACATACACCGCACCCTCACACACACACATACTGCACCCCTCACATACACACAGAACCCCCCCCAACACACTGCACCACACACATACACAATACTTCCAAATATATATATATATATATATATATATATACATATACATACACACACACACTACACTCTTAAAGGACCACTCTAGCCACCCAGACCACTTCAGCTTAATGAAGTGGTCTTGGTGCCAGGTCCTTCTAGGGTTAACCTATTGTTTTATAAACATAGCAGTTTCAGAGAAACTGCTATGTTTATCAATGGGTTAAGCCTTCCCCCAAAGCCTCTAGCAGCTGTCTCATTGACAGCCGCTAGAGGCGCTTGCGTGCTTTTCACTGTGAAAATCACAGTGAGAGCACGCAAGCGTCCATAGGAAAGCATTATAAATGCTTTACAATGCGACCGGCTGAATGCGCGTGCAGCTCTTGCCGCACGTGCGCATTCAGCCGACGGGGCGGATCGGAGGAGGAGGGCTTCCCGCCCGGCGCTGGAAAAAGTTTTAACCCCTTTCCAGAGCCGGGCGGGAGGGGGTCCCTGAGCCACATATGCATCACATTACACCACAAACACAACACGACTAAAACCGACCTTATTACACAATACCACACCACGACCAGCTCACTCTACACACACGCAATACCACAAGCAGGCTCAAAACACATGCACAATACTCTTTCCTGGCCTTTTGTCTCCTGGTATCCATTTATAGAGACACCAGAGACAAGTTGCAAGGAAACACAGTGCAAGCATGTTATTAAATTTGTTTGCACTGTGCAGAACAAATACAGGACTTTTTTCTCATGCTAGAGCTCTTCAGCAGAGCTCTGCACATGGTCTGCCCTGGAAGAGCATTGAACCAACATGCTCACTTTGAGAGGAGGCGTGTTTGTCATTGGTGATGACAAAACACACCTCCTCTGCCCCGCCCCCTTTTTAGTGGGCCGCTGTGTTAAAAAAATGCCCGGGCCGAATTTTTCTCCCAGTCCGGCCCTGACCACAAGCACCGCACTGGACACCACAACCCCCACAGACTCCAAAACCACCATAGCTTA